ATTGTTTAAGTGTTAATGATTACTGTCCTAAGGAGTTGTCAGATCAATTTGAATTGACCTATCACTTTGACTAGTAATCTTGTTTAGCTCAGCATTTAGCAGTTGTGCTTATTCTTGACACAAGTGATTAAGCTAGACAGTTTCGAGTTTCTAATGATATTTTTATAGAGTTAGGGTGATACTCTTGAAGTTTGTAGTCCTATGAACTACTTTTTGAAAGTATTTGGTATTCATCTGCATGTCTGCAGTCCAGTTTCATTGATACTTCCCTATTTACATCTCAGGAGTTGTTCGAGGGTTATTACTTTTGTCAAGCTCAAAGGGAGGACTTCTTCCATGGAGCAAAACCATATCAGGGGCATCCAACCATTGTGAGGTGAAAATTCTGATTACTTCTGGTGTCTTATTGCTGGTTTCGTTAGCATATGTGTCAAGGTTCCAATAACAACCTGGCTTGTTCTTTCTATGTGCATGTTTGTAGGATGCAGAAGCTTGCGAAGGAGCTGGGAGTGGTTATACCAGTTAGTTTCTTTGAAGAAGCAAATAATGCGCATTACAATTCTGTGGCTATTATTGATGCTGATGGCACAGATCTTGGACTTTACAGGAAGTCCCATATTCCCGATGGACCTGGTTAGTAAAACTTGTAAGAACATTCCAAAATCATTGTGCTACTTGTCATTATTCTGTTAGATTCCCTTCAACCACTTTCTTCAATACTCCTTTTTTATCCTCTTAAATTGTTTGTCTCTGCAGGTTATCAGGAAAAGTTTTACTTCAATCCTGGTGACACTGGTTTTAAGGTAAGGAATACTAAGTCCTGTTACGATATTGTGATAGTGATATTTTTCCTGCTTTCCCCTTTGCTCATGGACGTAATGGTGTTCATAAACAGGTGTTCCAGACTAAATATGCAAAAATTGGAGTTGGTAAGAGAATATATGTTGTCATGGTTGTTCTTTAGGTTTCATTGTGTTCTCTCTACCTTTGATGAACATTTGGATACATAGGAGAAAAATAAAAGTTTGCTGCTGTGGGCAAAAACCTTAAATCTCCAAAAGTACTTACATACACTTCACTTTGTAATTTTAAGATTTTATTAAAGAGGACAAAGATACTCTTGTTGTACATACAGTGAAAACTGAAGATACACTACCGGTAGTATTGACTGTTATTAAATTCTGTCCAGCAATTTGCTGGGATCAGTGGTTTCCTGAGGCAGCTCGAGCTATGGCACTTCAAGGTGCAGAAGTACTGTTCTATCCTACTGCAATTGGTTCTGAACCTCAAGATGATGGACTTGATTCTCGTGATCACTGGAGGAGGGTGATGCAAGGACATGCTGGAGCTAATGTGGTAAGCTTTATTTTTCATTTTTAACTTTTTTTCGTTAAGAATGATAAGTAAAAGGGATGTTTATGTTGGCATGAGCAGGATAGCCTAGTTGCAAGGATCCTCCACCTTCAATCATAAGATTTTAGGGGTTCGAGTCACCGAGGGAGCAAAAGTGGGAAAAGGGCCACTATTCGACTCCTGGGCAAGGGGTTGGGATGGTGGGGTTTTAGCATAGCCAAAAAAAAACAAGGAAAGTTGTGTCCCAAGCTAGAATTTTGTCCAGCTAAAATGTTAATTATGCATCTTGATCCTTGTTTATTAATTTTATTATACACCGAGCTGCTTTAGCTTATTCTTTTCTTTTAATCATTCTTTTGCTCGGCTGAGCAACGTACCTGCATTACAATTGGGTAAAAATCTCTGTAAGGGACAAGAATTGAAGAGATGTACAACAAAAAGTTTATGCAAGAAAAAGGAAACACTGAGTCATGCCCCTCTTATATATTTGCTGGACAGATTGGAATAGCCATCAAAGGTGCTTTTCCTCTCTTAACCAACCCCTTCTATCATAGCTCCTATTTGAGCTTAAAACTGGACTATTTCAGTTGTTCCCTGTGTGTTTTCTTGGTGTGGGTTTCTTCCTCAACTCTAGGGCTGACATTATATGTACCCCAATCTGGATTCATATTCTATTTGATGTGCCGTATATATATACACACACACACACACTGCTAATCAATTCTTCACGACAAGCATAGCAATTTACTGTACACTATGTATGCCATTTTCCTATGCATTCTCTGTGTAGAAAAGGAAACCAACAATTATTTGCAACTTTTAGTAAAAGAAGAATTTCGATTTCTGTGGTTTTAGTACACCAAATAAAACCAAACTCGAATTGTTGGTTCTCAACTCATTTTACAAGACCAAAGCCAAGAAAGTGACTTTTAAATTTATGGTTTGGTTTGAATCAATTTGGTTCAGTTTTTTTCTAGAAACACTTTGTCCACTTTAATTTTTATCGTGTTCAGGTACCTTTAGTAGCTTCAAACCGCATTGGAAAGGAGACAATTGCGACAGAGCATGGGAAAAGCGCGATAACATTCTACGGCTACTCTTTCATTGCAGGTAAGCTATTTGACAAAAATCTGTAGCTATAGAACTTGAAAAACATCTATCGCCTTATGTTGCTAAGGGGCTCTGAACCTGGTTTAAAAATGAACAGGGCCCACTGGGGAGTTGGTAGCAGCTGCTGATGATAAAGAGGAAGCTGTTCTTGTAGCGCAGTTCGATCTGGACAAAATCAAGTCCAAAAGGCAGAGTTGGGGGGTATTTCGTGATCGACGCCCTGATTTATATAAGGTTCTTTTGACATTAGATGGAAGCAACCCAGTCAAGTGATTCAAGATGGACCAAGTATCGCCTATTCTCCTGCCCTTTTTTTGTTGTTGTCAATCTTATCAATAAAAGAGTGAGGACTTAAATATAATCTTGTATTCAAGTTCTGTTGTCGTGTAACTCGTTATATGCTGTAATCTGTCACATGCTACACTTTCTGCAATGAATGGCAGAGTTAGGGATTTTGAATCCCTCAATGTTTCAGAAGTAGCATGAATGTGCAACTTTGGTGGTTTTTGTCTCATCCAAGTAGTGAACACATTCATCATTGGGACCTTGATTTGTATTTGTTTACACTGGTGGATGGCTGTTCTGGAAGATCCCATTTTAGAAAACCATTTCCAGACATATACCTTGATTTGTCAATTTCTCAATATATCTCTGAAAGCATTGGAGCTATATCTGGTGGTCCACAATATCTTTCATCGTATCATTTTCTTGATTTTTAGATAGAGTGATTGCGTTTTCGGTCCTTCTATATTCTGTTTTTGATCCATTTAGATTGAATGAACATATTCTTTGCCTTATATTTAGTTTGGAATTGTTTCTTGTGGAATGAATGATCCAATTGCTACAGCCACTTGGAAACACCAAGGCCACAGATTTATTCTGCTTAGAAAAAATCTATGTTTTGATGAATAAATATTTTATTATGTCATGCACTAACAATGTGAAAAACATACTTGTCATATTACAAAGAAAAACAAGGTACGAGGTAGAGTTATTATATAAAAAGGTAAGGTAAAGGATAAAATAGGATTATTTAATAAATAAGGAAGTGCAAGATGAGAAAAAAAGACAAGGTAATAATGTGACCATACCAAATCGGTCGTAAAGTGGTACTTTCGGCGTATATAGTAACGAATTTAACAACACGATATAATAAAATTAATTAAAAAATCAAAACAAACATTATATTTAAAGTAACAGCACGATACAATATAACTATTCAAACAAGCTGTAAGCTTTTGTAGGAAAAGTGATTCCATATTGGTGGGGTAGTTGAGGTGCGTCTGAGCTTTGCTCAAACAACATTGTTGTTGTTGTTGTTGTTATTGTTGTTGTTATTTTAATTATTTTTTCCTTAAAAAAAAAGGAGTTTCTGTGGCCTATGAGGCATTGTAAAATATCCTCTTTTGTGGGTTGCCCTCAGTGATGATTATGTTGCATAGGGTTCTGTGATGTTTTGTTATCTTTTCTCATCTAGTCCATACGAATTCTTTGCTTGAAAAGGGCATCCCTATTATCACAGGAAAAGCGTCCTGTTTGTTAGACTGATTTGAAGGTGTTAAAACTACAAATGTCAAAACTTTTCTCCATTTTACTTTGTGATTGTGAGAGAAACTGATATTTTTATTTGGTAAACTCACGTTGGCTCTTTCTTAGAGTGTCTCTTCTGTTGGTCCTAAGGACATTGGTAGGTTTTTGAGGATGTCTAGTTAGTGATTCGGATTGTTACATGTGTCTACAAAAATTAGAATATAGGTGGCTTCTTTAGGTCATATTCATATACTTTCGGCTACAAAAAGTTGTAGATATTTTGCAGTCTATCTTCATCTGAACATAGGATTACTGTGTCTTTGAGCTACCTCCCTTGTCCCATCTCCTAGAACCCCTCCACCCCCAAATGACATTCGAAATTCCTTTTTTTTTTTTTTAAGAGTTTAAGTTTTATGTACGGATGGAATAAAAAATACTGAGGAGCCTTTTAGTTGAAGGGATTAAGTAAGTTACCCCGATTTAAAGTTTGGGATAAAATGTATTATATATTTGGTTGAGGGCATTAGTTAGAATCAGAATAAGTTTTATACCTGGGAATATTTATCCCATATTGAAAGTAGAATAAATAATCCTAGTTATAATCGTGGTTATAATTCCAGAATAACCTGTGATTGAACCGAACGACCCCCGATTCTACTTAAAGTAATTTGCTATAACAAGTTACTACATTAATAGTATAATTTTTTTTTGTTTTACAGTTGGTCTGTATAATAAAGACACTGGCTATCAGTATTCGGGAAATTTTTTCATCCAAACAAGTAGTGACAAGTTCAATTTATAGTACGCGAAATGTTTATCTTTTTCTTAAACAGAAATTCAATTCACAGTAAAAAAAAAAAAAAAAAAAAAAAAAAAAAAAAACAAATATTATAGGATGTAGCAAGTGGTAGCTTTTTGTACAAAGTATCCCGCATTTCTGCAGGGTTTAGGGTCGCACCCCAAGAAGTGTGATGTAGGATGTAGCAAGTAAATAATAAAAAATCCTATAGTAAAATGCATCCAGATATGGAATAAAGAATTCCTTTTGCAGTTTCTCTTTATTTGCAAAATTTGCAGAGAAGAAGAAAAACAAAGCTTTTAAACTATATCTTGCAGGTTTCCTGCAACTTTGGAATATAGCAGACAAAGGAAATACCAAAAAAGTAAAAACTACGAAACAAAATTAAACAGCTTTCATGCAATACATGTTTTATTGATGTTCAACTCCTATACATGCTTTGCATCATGTTCTTCTTCAACATTCTGTGTATCATCATCGTCGTCCTCGTCCTCGTCTTCGTATTCATCTTCATCTACAATCTCATCATCTGAATGAATAACATGCATCATTAAACGTCCATCTTCTCTGCATGCATGCAAGAATTCTTGAGTAGGAATTCTAATTTCCTTAAGAATAAACCTCCCATCTTCCCTAAATGATTTAAAGCAAACCCAAGGCTTCCCACTTCTCCCTATGCAAGAAATAGGAGGTGGAAATGACCCTTTGTTTGTTCTTGATCTCTTTGAATAATCATGATTAATAATTATTTGATTCTCTGGCCTATAGGGAACGCGCGTTCTCCCTTTTTCTTCTTCTTGTTGTTGTTTCTGATTCTCGATACTCAAATCGTTCATTAGGTCTTCAACGTCATCAGAGCTCTCGAATCCAAGGCCTTCTGTGCACATCGATAGACTATCCGATGTTCTTGATGAAAAGCTATCACTATGCCTGTCTTGTTTCTTTTGGCTGCAGCTATTGGTATTTGGATAATAACTTGAAATAGGGCTCTTGTTTCTTTCATACTTGTCCTTAATATTGTCCAGCCCTTCAATCTCAGATTGGTGGATTGCATCAAGGAAAAACGACGAAGAAGACGACAATGATGATGAAGCAGATGATTGAGGGAGACAAGAAGAAAAAGATGACGAAGAAGAAACAAGAGAGGAGGAGGAGGAAGATATAGAAGAGTTGTTTTCTTTAAAATGTAATTCGCCGAAAATCTCAGTGAAGGAGGAGTTATCAATATTAGGTTTCAAGGATTTAGAATTATTCCATGAGGTTGAGGAGAGGGATTCAATAAGTGTTGGATTTTCAGGCAATGGTTTCTCAAATATGTGTTGTAGGCTTCCACAGGCAGCCATTGTTTTTGTTGCCTTTTTTTCTCTTTGTTAGTTGGCACAAGACCAACAAAATAGTACTCGTAGTAAATTTTTGAAGGTAAAGACCTTCTTCTTGTTGTGTAGAAGGAAGAAAATATGCACGAGATTGCTGATAAAGTCAAGAGAGGGGAAATTAAAGGTGCTGTTTTGTAGGAGTACCTCTCACTTTGAAAAGTAGAATAAAAGATGAGTGGTTATAAATCTTCTATTCATTTCGTGGTCTCTATTTTACATGTCAAACTGTAATTTCTCTTTCTTTCTCCCTTATCTTTTCTTAATAACCATTCAACTACTTTTTACGCGGAAATGAACTGACTTTGGAATATACTGCAAGTCCAAGAGGATTATATATATTGTTCAAGTAATGACTGAATGATAGGGTTAACTTTCTAATCTTTGGCTAGTTAGTTTATTAAACTCTCTATTTCTTCAAATTCTCACGTGGAACACGTTTTGCTTCTATAATCAGCCAGACAAAAGCACTATCATTTGTTTATATGGAACCGCATCAAGACTGTGGTCTAGTGGTTAATGAAGTGGCTGCAAATCTTAAACACCGGTGTTTAGATTTCTTACAACTTGTTTGGATGGTTGTTATGTATCGTTTTATAATGTATTGTATAGTATTGTATCGTTTTGATGTTTACAATATTTGGATAGATTGTATTGTTTGCCGTCGTTTCATTATGTCATGCATCAACAATACGAAGAATAAACTTACAATATTATAAAGAAAAAATAAGGTACGAGATAAAATTATTATATAAAAAGATAGGATAAAGGATAAAATAAGATTACTTAATAATAAAAAAGGGCAAGATGAGAGAAAAAAGTAAGGTAACGACGCAGTCACAACAAATGGATCATTCCATAAAGTTGCATTTTTCGTTGTTACGTAACAACGAATTTAACGATACGATATAATAAAATTTAAGTAACAATCAAAACAAACATTAATTGTATATAAAGTAGCAGTACGATGCAATACAACAGGTAACAACCATCCAAACAAGCTGTAATAATCATCTGCCTAAGCGTTAGTGGAGAGAGTTACCCGGTATCTGTGCTGGTAGGAGGTTGCAAGTGCCTAATGAAATAGTCGAGATGCACGCGCAAACTGGTTCGAACACCAACGATATCAGAAAAAGAAGAAATAAATAACTACTATAACAACTACGTCTTAATCCCAAGCAAGTTGGGTCGGCCCTATAAACCCTCATTATGCATATCAACTATCAAACATAGACCTAAAGTAAGCGCAATAATAAGGAACTACCATGAGAAAAGTCAAGTGGTCTCTACTATGGAGTGAAAGCCACTTATACATGCAAGACAGCACTAAAAAGGCTCAGGGACCTCAGCAACTTTCTGTAGTTTTCCATCTCATCATGCAATTTGAAGTCGTGTTCCATAAGTATCTTTGATGTGATTGCTGAAAGGTTATACACCTATACTAGCACATCCTGGATTAGATTTTATTATTTAATTGACGAAATTGCTAGATTGTAGTCAATTTCCAGATACACCTCCCTAAACTAGTATACACTTCACATTCTAAAATAGTACTACTGCTATCAACTAAAGGGCAGACTTGCATATTGAACATGATAATCTTACGTATAATCGTCATAGAAAACATACCTGAAGCGGAATCCATTATTGTGAAGCGGAAGCGTTAATCGGTAAATTAGTTTCTCGCCCCTTGCCCTAGCTTTCGTTACCGCCGCCTTTAGCGATGGAAGAGAGAATAAAATGCGGTAACCTAATGGGTGGGGAGAGCACCAATTTATAGAGGTACTTATTTAATCCGGTACGTCCATCAAGTAACCGATCAGACGGATGAGATTTGCTCATTAATTAAATATTAATTATGGGCCTTAAACTTATTGGGCCACCAATAAATTAACGTAAGAAAATCTTACACTCTCCCACTTGGCCCAATAATCACATAATATTAATATTTAATATAGGAACATTAGTTGCGCATAAACAAATTTCTTCTATAATGTCCATCATAAATACCATAATACGATAAACTACTAAATGTGAGTTATGTCGGTTATATATAATTTATCTACATACTCCTTTCCATATTTGCACTAAGCTTCCACTATGTGTGGGGTCCAGGGAAGGGCCGGACTGCAAGGGTTTATTGTATGCAACCTTACCCTATATTTTTGGAAGAAGCTGTTTTCACGGCTCGAACCCGTAACCTCCTGGTCACATGGTAGCAACTTTACCAGTTACGCCAAGGCTCCCCTTCCCTACTGCTATCAGCTAACCCTCATAAATCAACCTAACTCTGCCTTCCCCTGCCTGTAGTTTTCAACTAGCTGAGTATGAATCTCGTGGATCCATAATATTGATCATCCAATTCATTTCAAAGAAAATGAAAGGCCACTACAGCAATTTATCGCATAACAATACTATGGAACCACAAAAATGACTTGTTAGTGGTGCTTTTTCATTATTTGGGTGTTTTTCCTCGATCAACAACAACAATAATAAACCCAGTGTAATCCCACAAGTGGGATCTGGGGACGGTAGTGTATACGCAGACCTTACCCCTACCTCTAAGAAGGCAGAGAGGCAGGCTGTTTCCAGTAGAGTGTTTTTCCTCGATCAGGTTTACTAATATGAGAACATTATTGTAGCATCAGAATTTGACAAATTTTATCTTTGTTGTGGTCCTGAAGCATCAGCATTTCTAACATACCAAATACAGTTCATCAATAGAAAAGTAAAAGGATTGGTCCTCCACACAGATTAGGCAATAAAGTATATGGAGGTGGACATCCACATTGTGCAGGTGCAGATCAATCATATTCGCGTTCTAGTATTTAGAAAGCAGACTGTATAATGTACACATCAAACTGTAACCAGTTAAAAAAACCACCGACAGTACACTAGAACACATACATGAAGCATTAACCATTCACATTTTCACAACCAAATAGTAACTGTTACCATCTTAGTCAGCATAGAAAGTTGTTCACTCCTCTTTACCGCCAGGCTTCTATCCGCTCTGTCATTGAGTTTATGCGGCTCAAGTTGCTTATTCCTTTCGATTTACTATCATTTCCCAGAGACTGAACTACAGTTGGCTCTAAATCGATTTTCAGAACATCCTTCGTCTGATTAGAATCACTTGACTGGCCTATCCTTTGAGTGTCCTCTTCAAAGTTTGAACCTTTTGTCACACAGCCTTCTCTTGCCATGGTATTAACATGGATAGGAGTTTCACAAGATACACTATCGTCGGATTCCTCTGAAGAAGTTGTATAACTAAGATATTCATCATCAGTGATGTTATCTACTCGATTAGATTCAGACACCTTGGCTGAATCGGGCTCTTCTACAGTATATACCTGCTCAGTCAGTTCATCTGATTCATTGGTGCTCTCCAGAGATAGTTGCGGTGGACTTTGACGACCATTCTCATCAGGCCGCCCTAGGTTAGAAACAGAAGCCGGTTCAACAAGGAAATCTTCTCTTTCTTTTAAGGTCCTTTCGATGAGGGTCCTCAAGAAATTCATTACTTGGACAGCATACATCAGTGCAGTCAACGGATCTGCCATCTGCAAGGAAGAAGCTTTAAATTACTACTTATTATACTGATCCAGCCATTAGAGGAGAAATGGTTGGAGATATCCACGGAAACAGAACCAGTTTAATGGTGCAGATGTTAATTGATTTAAGAAAAAGGAAAGAAGGAATAAGAATTGCAACTTGTTCTCACTTGCGGTATTTTTTTATTTCATTTTCTTCCAACAGTTATGGAGTAGATTCACATTGAAAATGAGTTACCCGTTTATAAATGTAGGAAACCATACAACTGGCTTTCCAAATTTCAACTCATTCTCTATTTGCTTAGCTATAAATTCTCAGCTTATGGAAGGTAAACCGTCCCCTTGGAAGTTTCATGCCAGTATTGAGGAGAGAACCCACACCTCCCTCCTCTTCGCTAGTTATAATTTTTCCCATCTTGTTTATGTATCTTTTTTCAATTTTGGGATTTCGGCCGGGGGGGGGGGAGCGCATAGGGCCATGATGTTTATGGGGTTTACTTACAAATTATCTCGGCTACCAAAGAGCAAATGCCAACAATGTGCATATAGTCAAAGAAACCAAGTGCCCAGAAATTACCTGTGTCATGTTAGGAGCAAACACCATTGCGATGTTGCGCGTATTCATCTTGTTAAGGTGTTCTTCCTGGACAACATCAGCCATGAGATTGATAGCCCAGTCCAGCAGAGCAGCTTCTGTTGGTGGCAGAAGTCTCACGAGTGCAATGCTGTCCTCTTCTGATTGGGATTGCATGACCTGCTCGGGAGAAAGAGTATCTAATACCCCACTTGGCAGCTCCCTGAACCAAGCCTGTTCAGTTACATGATGTCAGATCAAGGATAAATATACCAACAACAGGTTTTCAAAGACCAAAATAGAGAAATATCTATCAAGACCTTTTTTTTTATTGCCTCAACTGAAGAAACCACCAACAGGTAGCAATGATGAAGGGGATCACTCTAACGTCATTTAAACCGGTGAAACATAAAATGCTATATTTACAGCAGAAACATCATAGTTCACAAAATAACCATAAACGTCAAGGACATAAAAGGAAGTTGTCTAATTGCAAGCCTGTAATACCAAAGTCACTTTAGTGAGACAAACTTACAACATCATAAGGTGCAATTATGTAGACTTCTACTAATTAAGATGCATTTTAAAAATCACAAGTTTCTAGAGTTTCGTCTTCACTAATCCATCACATGATCTGGCAGCTAATTGGTAAAATTTGACAAGCAAATAAAAAGGCTAAGTTGCTTCAATCTCAAGTTGTGGTGTCATCTACTGCAAGTGTACAAGAAAAGAATGAAAGAACATGTTAGATTTGATTCCTGACTGAAGGAAGCAAGGAACATAAAATTTTGAAATGTTAGTAACTGGTCAGAGGAAGATATGAATGCAGTAATCAACACAAGGTTTCATAATAGAAATCTGAATCTCTATACATTCATCGATTCTAGGATATGATCAGAAATCATATGCCTTGAGTTACCAAGAACTACAAAAAATAATTGACCATGCGAAGAGTAGGCTTATTATTTCCACTTCTCTTATTACCTAGTACCTATACAGTTTTGGCAAAGAGGCAGTTTACAAGACTTTTATCGCTTGTTCGTGCTTAAAGCCTTTAAACCTCCAAAAGCGGCCAGTACTATTTATATAATGAGTTGCTTATATCATTGAATGACACACTCAGAATCCCATTATCTGATAACTATAACGGAATTAATGCAAATGTTCCAATCTGCATAATTTGAAGCAAGGTACCATATTATATGCTATCTAATTGAAGCATTTCCTTTATCGTGTATTTGTAATTTGCAGCAAAATTTCGGGGTTTTCCTAAGCAAAATTAATTTCTTATAACGTAGGTGCACACACCAATGTGAAAAAGTGCACGTTTGTCTGCACACATGTTTAATATGCATGAATGCATACAACATTAACAGTTATTCTGAGCATTCACAAAGGGTGAAATATATTAGATAAGTCTGAAGAAATATACCTTAATGAGACCTGCCAAACAATGTACATCAATCCCATCCGGAACTATTCCCCTGTTTAATTGCTCCCTAACAAGCTCCTCCTCGCTGTTTTCAGCATTTATTCTGAAAATCCCTTCTGCCTGCCCACGTAATACAAACAACTCGGATATGATAATGAACAATTATAGGACACAGCACTACTCCTCGATGATGATGAGGAGGATAACAATGACATCCAATAATATTGTTAATGCAGTTTTTGAATATTTGAAAGAATAAGACAAAACGCAGAACGCACCTGTAGACCCCCTTGAGCATACAAACGCCTTTGCATTAGAAGGAGAATAGTTGGAACACTATTCCCACGGGAGTCGAATGATAACTGCATGGACTCCGTTGACACTCCAAATACAGTGGTACTACAGATGGAATACCAAAGTCAATAGCACTTCAAGATGCAGTCATACTTATAGAAGAGTTTATATCTGCATGACTATCATAATGTATAATACCAGTAACATCATAATAATCTTCTATCCACAAAAACTCCAAGCAACTCACTAACGACAAAAATGGAACTGTAGCAGTTTCTTTCATGAAGATGTTTTCAAGGAATCCTAATTATCTTCAAGGTCTACTAGCTGGAGCAGAAATAAAAGATGTCGCCATAAATATATAACTAAAATGTTACAGCATTTAATGCACTCAAGTATTACATTTCTTTTTAAATCAATCACCTATGAAATTACATTGCCATTTTTTAAGATCACACAATCTTTTCACATAGTAGACAAGTCTGCTAGTTTATTAAAAATTAAAACAGGAGAAATTTAATTGCAGACCAAAACAGAAGCAGTGAGTAGAACCTACAAATTAGACAAGTCTGCTAGTTTATGATTTAAAAGAGAAAAACATCCTTGTATATACCAAAAATGTGAGAAATTTTAACTTGATAAAGAGAAGATATGATAATTGCTATTGCTTTTAATGAAAACTAGGAAATTGAGATGGCTATGTGTCATTCATCGAAACTGCAACATGACTGGTAGCCAACAATTTAATGCAAAACCACATTAATGGTTCACCCACCGATGGAGGACTTTATGCACTAAGATAAGACTCACTCCCAATTTGATTACGTTCTGAAGATTTTCTGATGAAGTGATTATGTTTTTCATCATATTGTGACAAGGAACAACATAAACAAAATCAGCAGATAAATGAATCAAAAACTCACATTAGTTGGTAACTTCAGGCAGAATATAACAAGAGGACATTTTTGCTACCAATCAGCCACTTCTAATGCAAATTAACATGATAAAGATCCAATAAAATTCCTTGTAATTGTCATTTACAAAAAAGAAAAGATCTCTTTTCCAATTTACCTATAGATCAACACGTGAATTTTTAAATAATCTAGAGATATATGAAGGTGCTTTTTTTTTTTGATAAGTGAGATATATGAAGGTGCTTTATTAGCATATAACTCGCTTTGTAATCTTATAAAGGTAAACCCACAAAGATAATATCTTTTCCATATTTCACTACTAAACTCTCTTTCAATACTTTCTTTTCTTCTGGATGACACCATTGATATGGCCGATTGACTAGGACTACACTTTCTCTTTCAAAAAAAAAAATGTAAAATAGGAAAGATTCACTTTGAAAAGTTAAATTAACTGTTGTCTAAGGTAAAATATAAAGCTCAAAATGGGATACATGGTCAAGAACTAAGAATTAACCTATAAGGAGTAGATCACTAAATTATTTAACAATTATAGTTAGAATCAAAGTACAACAAAGACATAGTATAAATCTACTTGTAATAGACAGATGACTTCATCTGTAACAATGTTGACCACACGGAATGTCTGCTCAGGCAAGACAAGACACTTTGAAGAATACAATAATGATCACACACAGAGAAATTTTTCATGAAAAGTTGAAAAATTGAGAGATTCAATGAGTTGAAAGAATGAATTACCATATCCAACCTCTTTCACCACAATTTGTACCAACTATATTATGTTCACAAAGAAATAAAAAGGAAGTGGAAATGTAAGAACTATCTTAAAAATGGATCATAGGATGTTCCCTAGGGGATGGCCTAGCGGTTGAGCTATGGGAGTGACAACATAGAGATTTCAAGTTGGAATCCTAGCTACTTGACAACCCATGTGGCCGTGCTGATGGGCTGAACCAACAATCTGCTAGGTAGATTAGTCAAGCTATGCACAAGTTACCCCAAACACCACCAATATAAAAAAAGAAAAATTCTATGATTTGATGCTCAAATGTATACCCCAACAATCTTTCCCACAAAATTCAATACAATGAGGGTAACTGCAAACTATGAGATAAATCTCAATTTCTAACGGGCATTGCAATTCTCAGTTTTTCCACCAACAAGTTATTACTAATGGGAGGAACTTGGAAGAAGCAACAATTATGAGAGAACAATTCACAAGAGAGATATGGTAAGGGGGATAGTTATGAGTTTCAATATAGATGTATAAGAAATAGGTGAATTGGATGTCATCCTTGCAGGGAATAGACTTCAATCACATCGAGTTAGGATCAACAATTGATTGGAAAGGAGTTCTAAGAAGAGGAAGCTCGCAAAGCTGTCAACAATTGTGCTAATGACATGGCACAGGGACCTGATGGCTTCACTATAGCATTTATCCAACAGCATTTGGGGATGTAGAAACAATTCACAACTTCTTCTAGACGGGAAAATTCAAAAAAGGTCTCAATGCCTCTTTTATAGCAATCATAATAAAGGAGGGGACACCAAACATCAAAGATTATAAGTGTATGAGTCTAGAAGTAATTATCTATAGGATCATAACTAAGTGCTAGACGTGTCCATATCGAGTCTTCTCAGGAAGCTTCTGTGGAGGGAAGATGGATTCTCAATGTAGGACTTATAGCTAATCAACTAGTGTATGAAGAAAAGAAAGGACCCCGGGAACACAACAAGGTGCTTTGCATGGAAATGATAAACGCAACACCAAGTAATAGGAGATTTCAATCATTATTTCTTTAATAACCGTGGTGTCCGGCCCAGCTTGCGTGCACCTCAACTAATTCCATGAGACACCTGCGACCTCCCACCAGCAATAGGTAACTCTATGCACCAAGGCTTAGATAGACGGAAAGAAATCACTTAGTTCTTTTGCCTTGGGCCCTTGGCTGGGATTTTGAACCTGAGACCTCATGGTTCTCACCCACTTCATTGACCACTAGGCCACACCCTCGGGTGCAAGACTTCAATCACTCTTAATGTATTGAGGTTGGATTTTCCAATCAAGCTTAACAGTACTGACAAAATTGATGATAATGAGACAGCAGAAAACATAACATGTCTGCTTATGATTTGAAAATCCAACCTAAGCAATCTTTAAAGAGAGACTCTCTACAACTAACTATTAAATACTATTAACTATCTTTTTTCCAGTTTTCCCTTTCCTGAGGTATCCTAACATAACCTCCACAACACATTTCACAATGTCAATTAAAGTAGGAGCCAAAATAGCATAAGAGTAAAACTTCTAATTCCATATTTGCAAATGATGAATTACTAAATCTAATCACCACAAAGGATATCAAGATTACTACACCACAAATTCTACAAAATTTTGATAAACTATAAAGTAAATCCTCATCAAAAATCACAAAAAAGTAAAACAATGTACCTAGCACTGGGGGCTCTTCTGGAAACTTCAGGCTCAAATTCAACAGGAAGACCCAAGAATCCATTGAACCTATCAAAGGTAACATGCGCAACATGGCGCACATTAGTAGGCCACCCAATTTCCATACCCCTACTACCACCACATAGATCTCCTCCTCCTTCCCTATCTGTCTTACAAGCCATCCAAAAACTCTTCCTAAACAATGTCACTAAAAGAGCCAATAAAGACAAATGATCTCTTCTTTCTTTCTCTCTCTTTTTCTCCTCTATTTCTTCCTCAGAATCACAAACAGCAACCTCAGAACCCCTCTCAATTTCTTCTTCTATAAACAATGTGTGGCCATTGTGTGTAGGTGTAGATATTGAAGGAGAAGAAGAGGAAGGAGAAGAGGAGTGGAGGACCTCTGTCATGGCTGCTTTAAAGGGTGTATAAAAATGTATCAAGAATCCAATAAAGAAATGATCTTTTTTTCTAGATTCTTGAATTGAAATGGCAAAAACCCACCAAACTCAGTAAAGAAATGATTTTTTCAGATTCTTAGATTGAAATGGTAAGAAACATCAAACCCAGTAAAGACCAATTCTTGGATTTTGACAAAGAAAATATGGTTATAGTAATGGAAGGGGAAAAAAGGAATTGGATTTAAGAAATGGGAAAATGGGGTAAGCTAGTTTCTTCAAGTTAAGAGATGTGGGACGTGAGAATCACGAAGTCTGTCATATTGTTTATTGTTTCTTGAACTAGCCCTTTTAATGGCGCGTTGAAGAAGCAATAAAGACAGTCTTTTTAAAAGTACTATTAAAAAAGAAAAGAAAAAAAAAAAAAGAGTTGAAATGCTTTGCTGTGAAGTTGGATTTGAAGGGTATTTGTTTATTGCTTTTATTGATTTTGGGTTAGTGGGTAGAGAGGTTCTTGAATCGGAATCAGTATAGTTTTTGTTGGAGATGGGAGGAAGAGATAGAGAGGAGAGTGAGAAAGAGAGAGGGGTACTTTTGGAAATTTATTGCTTCTACTAAATGTTCTTTATGGTGTCATCCTTGTGTGGCCAATGGGTTCTCGCCACATAAGCTGTTGGCTCATTTAAGAGTTTGGGAGGAGAAAATACAGCTGACAGAAAAAACAACAAACAATTCTTTAAAGAGCACACAAATAAAATAAACTCACACACACCAAAATTTTAATTTAATACAGCTTAATGGTTGAATTGAAGTGAGAATATAATTAACTACTCCCTCCGGTCTAAAATAAGCGATTTTTTGGTCTTTTTTTTGTGGTCCAAAATAAGTAATTTTTCCAGATTTCAAGAATGAATTAATTATGTTTTTCCTACATTGCCCTTGGAGTAAATAGTGTTGGAGTATGTGTTAGGAGTATTTATGTGAAGAGATAGTAAAGGTTAATATGGTCAATTTCATAGGTAATTAATGTTAAAAGGTGAATTTCTTAATCTGTGTGAAAACAGCTAAAAAATCACTTATTTTGGACCGGAGGGAGTAATGATTAACTGAGAGAAATTGTATGTTTTTTTTGGTAATTAATTCTTTCATTTACCAGGAAAATATTTACAGAGTAAATCAAACCTTTACATATTACTTATCCTACTAACTTCTCCCCCCACCACCTAGTTATCATGTACATCTATTACATTGGATACCAATCTAATTTCTGCAAAATTTTCTCTACTCTCTTGTTACTACGACAATGTATCTCTTGTGTTATCAGTTTGCAAACTGTCTCCCATCCTCTTGTCTTGTTGTTAAAAATTCGACCATTTCTTTCCTGCCACACATAGTAAATTGCAGCTGCCAGCACCATTTTGTATAGTTCAATTGTTGCAGTCTTCCTTTTGGCCCATTTCTCTGCCCATTTTAGCTCCTCATCCCACCCTTGTACTGGTCTGGCAATGCCTTGCCATGCTAAGAGTTTGCTCCATAGTGTTTTTGCATATGGACATTCAAAAAACAGATGTTGTATGGTTTTCTTTTCACTGTTGCATAATATACACTCTTGATCAACTTGTATTCCCCATCTTTGCAGTCTATCCTTTGTGTAAAGTCTTCCATGAGCAGTCATAGTTAGCACAAAATTTCATCTGGGACACCCTCCATTGTGGCAAACTACTTTCCTCCAACTTACTTTCTCAAACGTACCTCGCAGCATGTGGTAGATTTGTTTGATAGTGCATCTGTTCATGTTTATGATATCATCATGGCTGAAACCAGCATCCATCATAGTCTTCTGTGCCTTCATGATCTTACCTACCATCCATGAAGTTTGCTTTAACTGTATTGTCCAGATGTTTCTTCCTCTGATGTAATATCCATGTACCCATTGTATCTACATCTTCTTTTTCTCCTTACATAAATTCCAGAATTGCTTACATATAGCAGCTTTATTCCAGATTGCTATATTCATAATATTAAATCCACCCGCTGACTTTGGCATACATATTTTCTCCCATGCTAATAGTGTTTTCTTTGACACTGTACCTTGCCCTGTCCATAGGAAACTTCTGCACATTGCCTCAATTATTTTTATGATCTTCTTTGGTAGAACAAAAATTTGGGCCCAGTATGTTTGAATAGAGAACAGGACACTTTTAATGAGTTGGATCCTTCCTGCATAGGATAAGAACTTGGCAGTCCATGAAGTGATTCTTCCCATTATTTTGTCAATGAGTGGCTGGCATTGTGTTATGGAGATTCTTTTGGAACTCAGGGGTGCACCAAGATATCTGACTGGTAAAGTACCTCTCTGAATTCCTAGAAATTCTAGGATCTCCTCATGCTCATCTTGTGTAACTCCTCCAAAGAACATTGAACTTTTGTTCTTATTAATCATCAGTCCAGATGCCTTTGAGAAGTCCATAAAGCATTGGAATAATAGTTTGACTGATCCAATGTCTCCCCTGCAAAACAATAAGAGATCATCAGCAAAACCAAGTTGTAAGATTTGCATCTTAGCACACTTGGGGTGGAAATTGAAGTTTGGGATCTCTGCCAGTTTCTTTAGTTTCCTTGTCAAATACTCCATTGCAAGCACAAATAGAAAGGGTGAAAGGGGGTCTCCTTGTCTCAGTCCCTTCCTAGCATCAAATGGCTTAGTTAGTGCACCATTTATCATGATTGTATATGTCACAGTTCTCATGCATGTCATGATCCATCTTACAAATTGTTCTGGGAAGGCTAGTGCATATAATATCTGCTCCATAAAGTCCCATTCTATTGAGTCATAGGCTTTTTGCATGTCCAGCTTCATCATACATCTTGGTGATATCCCTTTCCTCCCATATCCTTTCACCAGTTCATGGCTCAAAATAATATTGTCTGTTATAACTCTGCCAGGAATAAATGCTGCCTGTGAACTATCAATCAGGAAGTCCATTACACACTGTAGTCTCTTGGTAAGAATCTTTGATATCACTTTGTACAGGAATGTACAACATGAGATGGGCCTATAATCATTGACACTTACAGGATTCCTAACTTTAGGTATTAAGGTAATGGCAGTGCAATTGATAGGTCTAAACATTTGGTTTGACTCAAAGAACTCCTGTACAGCCTTTATCACATCCTGACCAATGATTGGCCGGGATTTCTTGAAGAAAATAGCATTTAGTCCATCATAACCAGTAGCTTTAAGATCATTTTATATCCTTCATTGCTTCCCATATCTCTTCCTTGGACACTTGCTTGACAAGCAGTAGCTGATGTTCCTTGCTCAAAACTGGTCCCCTTTTCATATCATTTGGATTGATAGCTGGAAGACTTTCAGCACTTGAACCCAATAACTTCTTATAGTACCACATGATTTCTGCCTCAATATCATCTTCCAACACTAGCTGGACCCCCATGTCATTAGTGATAACTTGAATCCCATTCAAATTACTTCTGTTCTTCATCTGAGCAAAGAAGTAAGCTGAGTTTGAATCTCCCAGCTTAAGCCATTGCACTCTTGATCTCTGTCTATATATGCTTTCCTCAATCAGAATCCATTTTTCTAGGTCACCCTTTAGTGCTTTTTCCTTCTCAATTAGTTGTTGCCTCTGTAACTTAGAACTCATTTCTTCCTGAGTTGACTGGAGATCCTCCCTGATTCTTTTTATTCTCTCATCTAATCCTTTGTAATATTTTGTGTTGATATCTTTGATAACTTCCTTTACCCTCTCCAGCTTGTTCCATACTGTTTGCATCATACTCCCCTTACTCCTTTCTTCCCAGACTTGCTCCACTTTCTGTAGGAATTGGTGATGGTCAGCTATACAATCAAAGAATCTGAATGGTCTCTTCTTCCTCCCCTGCACTTGTGCTATCATTAGTTTTAAAGGTGAGTGATCAGACACTAGTGGCTCTAGTACCTGCACTTTCATATTAGGCATCATCATCATCCAATCTGCATTTACCAAACCCCTATCTATTTTACTGTAAGTGTGATTATTAGTCCATGTATAGTTCCTTCCCACATATTGAAGTTCATGCATTCCTGTATCAATCAGAAACTCCTTAAAATCTCTTGTCTCTATATCTTGCACCTCAGTACCATGCTGCCCATCCTCTGCCTGTAGGATAGCATTATAGTCTCCCATCGCTAGCCATGTGCCATGTTGTGTGCTGTGTATTTGTCTCATCTTCCTCCACAAACTTAGCCTATATTTTATAGTATGCAACCCATATATTGCTGAAAAGCCAAATGTGATTGCCCTTGATAAAATACTAACCTGCCCATGTACCAACTGCTCATCAAGCTCTTCCAGATCAAATTTATATATTCTAGGATCCCATAGTACCCATATTCTACTTTTATTGTTTGAACTAGCATTTGATATCTAGTGCCAACCATGTGCTATTTTTTTTGTTATCTCATTTTCTCTATGCTCCTTTACTCTATCTCAACCAATGCTATTATAGCTTTATTATTATTTCTTATGAACTCCCTCACCTCCTTTTGCTTATATGTTTTATTCAAACCCCTAATATTCCAAGTTATCACACTCATATTGGTATGAAAAGAGGTATATAATAGATCTCATGTTCCCCTATACTGCTCGTTTGCACTTTGCTTGTACCTGGTACATCACAATTGATTCTGTTGTGCATGCTTTGAGTCTCTTGTTTTTCTGCAGCTCCCTGGTCCTCATTTTGTTTAGCCTGAGATGCTCTTGCTGCTGATTTTCCAAGTACTGTAATCCACCCTTCTTCCCTTTCTTGCATTTCTTTCTCTGCTGGTACAGATTCACCCTGCTGGACTGCTTCCATTGTTGCCTTTTGATCTGGTTTTCTTTTCATTTCTTTCATTCCTATCTGTTCTTAGCCACACCTATTTGCCTGTAGCTATTTTCCTTTGTTGGACCATTCTTTGTGGTTGCTCCTTCCTTATCAAAGCACAATCATGTCCTATTTTCAGACATTTAGCACAATATGTTGGTTCCCAATCATAGACTACCTCTTGCTGAGTTAGTTTCCCTTTAGGATCCTGTACTTTCACACTTCTAGGCAGAGGTCTGCTTATATCCATTTCAATTAACATACGTGCATAAGAGATCCTCATTGTCCCAGTGGTGCATTCATCTGCATATACTGGGTTCCCCAAAGTACTTCCTATCTTGCTTAGAGCTTTCATGCTCCAGCAATTAAGAGGCAGATTAGGAAACCTTACCCATAATGGAATAGTCTTCAACACCTCGTCATGAATATTGAAATCTTCAGTCCATGCCTTCATAATTATAGGCTTATTATTCACTGTATGAGGCCCAGAATATAGTATTTGATCCCTTTCCTCCAGATTGCTGAATCTAATCACAAAATATCCCTCGTTATGGTAGTAAATCGGTGGTTTCCTTGAGAACTTGCCCACTGAGCTAAGAAACCTTTCCATAGCTCCAATGGTAGGCGAATCCCCTATCACGTACAGAACAATTGCAGATCTCCATTTTTCATTCTCCTGCTCAACATCCTCAACTT